GAGGTGTGAGAATACATAGATCTTGATCAATACATCTGTTCAGTGATCAACAATCCAATATTTTCTATGCAAAGTGAAAAACATTAATACATAGCGTCATCTTTTAGACACACCTTTATTTTGAAATTCCCATGGCACGTCTGTGTCACCATTTCCATCCAAGCGCGGTTCCTTTCTAAACATTTTCAGGCTGGATCCAAATGTCCGGGATTCACCGCACTTGCAAATTCACAGACTTTGCAGGCGTGTTCCTGGGAAGTCTGGGAGGGCTAAGTGCTGGCCAACTACACAATTCCTCCAGTCAACAAGACGCCTAAAGCAGACTTTGTGCAGACTTCCAGGGAGTCCACTTGGGGCACAGACTTCAGCAGACTTCTAGGGCTGTAGTCTCCTGGTCGACTGGTCGATATGCTCTCGTCCGACCAAATTCTCATTGGTCGAATAATCGCCGTGTTACTTTAATAAGAAGAAAAGGACCATTTCCCTCGGTGGAAATGTAGCTTGTATTTACTTGTATCTCACAGATAAGAAACAATAAATTGTGGAGACAATAAAGCCTCCACTAAAATAGCATTTTAAGTCGTGTGTGTGATTTATCCTTCAGGGATTTATACTTCAGGATTTATCCTGGCTTCATATGAGCAGAGGAAATCAACGCTCGTCGCTAGGCTAATGTATACCATGTAAAATGCCATAGGCTGGCGCTAATAACGTTAGTTAGTTAACGTTAGTGTTGTATTTGTTTGGAAAACGTGTTTAGTATAAGACAGTTGTTTTGTCAGTGAATGTTGTGAGCTGTAATGGAGCCGAATTGTGTGCCATTACCTTTGTTAAATGTTGCTGTTGTCCCTGGTTTTATATGAGAAGAGGAAAAGATCACTAGTTGCTAGGCTAATTTATACAATGTAAAATGCAATAGACTTGCGCTAATAATGTTAGCATGTTGTATTGGTGGGGGAAATGTGTCCAGATAAAGACAAGTGTTTGTCTGTGAATGCTGCGAGTTATAGTGAAGCTGATTTGTGTACTTGTGTTTGAAATTGTCTCTATTAAGCCATGTTTAATGTGTGTTTAATGTGCGTTTTGAATCAACTAAACTTTACAGCACTTAACACAGTCCTCCACCGCCAACTAGTGTTTTGGAGGTGTAACTGCAAAGTGACACAGATACACCACCGCAGAAGTAAAAATCAAAGATGTCTAATTCCCCTTGAAGAGGCAGTGTAGAAGAAGTTTCTATGTCCAATAAGCTGTTGGCACTGTGGCTGTCTACCAAAGTAGGCAATGGATCACTTTCACATTTTATATGTATTCTATCTCATCTAATAACAACAGTTTCCTGTGGTCCAGTTGGCTAAAGGTAGACTAGAAACAGACCTTCTTGGCAGTTACAGTGTAGTTTGACTTAAGATCTCAAGTAAAACATCAATAAAAAAAAAGTCAGATTTTGTCCTCAGTCTCTCAGCAGAGCTCATAAATATGTTTTACGCCAATACACAGAAGATATCAAATGAAAAAGGACATCAAACAAAAGTAGACTTGATAATCTATTCACACAAAGAAGCCACTCAACATGTTGGCTGCAGGTAAAGGACGCAACACTTGCCTTATTCCTAAAGTGAGATCTGTCTCACTTCTAATGCTAATTCAACCTAAGCTGTACACCTGAAACAGGACCAGGCAAGTTCTGTCGAAGATGCCAAGAGTCAAACTGAGAAATGAAAGACACCACTAACTAAATTAAATTTAGAGGAAGTTGAGAGAAAGTGGCTGATGTAATAGACTGCCGATAGCTTCGAGGGGGAATCCCACAGTTCATAGATCAAAATGTTGATAGTAAAGAGGAACAAGGACATACTGTATACTGGTGTTCATGAGGAACAAGAAGTGAAAGTGTGTCATTAATGTAAAACACTACTCTCAGTTTAAAGTGTGTAACATGAGGTCAGTCAGAGAGAGGTACAGAGCAGCTGGAGCTTTTCAGCCCAACATCCCACTGTGGAGTTACCTGCAGTAATACCTGCAGCACAGAGCAATTACCTGCGTGTCATTAGTCAAATCTGACGAGGGAGGCAAATACTAAAACTACACTCAACCAAGGTCAAAAACTTCATTTAGCTTTGATGTTGTGGCCGACAGGAAACAGCACAGTATATTTATAAAGCATGTTTGTCCATCCTGATCTACATACACACGGCACAGATCGTGCCAAATGTGCCGTATCAGCAAAAGGTTCATTTGATTATGAAAATCTGCTGTTGCTGTTCATAGCGTCACAATTTACATTTTGACTCATCAGCTAAACATCCCATCACAAAATATTTCACCCTGCTCTAACACCTCACACAGGAGGTTTGTGACACAACTTCAACATCCTGCAAGTTTTCATTTCACCATAAACTGAAGACAAATTGTTTTAGTACTATATTAAAGGTCTGATGACACTATAAAACTCTAAAGACTATTAAATCAAGACGTTCACATATATCAGCCTGTTTATTGGGTGATCACAGCACGTCTATCTGCCATTAGGTGCTCAGCAGAACTGTCTGACTGTGTCAGCAGTACAAGATTGGGTTACAGCCCTGGTGCCCATCGTGGGGGTCCCGACCTTCACTACGAGTCACAAAAGCTTCATGGGGGGGGGCACGAATCCTTCTTGATTTTAACCCCTTAAAACCTGGAGTGACATCACTTTTCTTCTGCTGCATTCAGACACCTTTTGCAAGTATTTAAACCTTTAAACTCTGAGCAAAATGGTGCCATTTCTTTCAAAACCTGGGAAAAAGGCAATATGCAACTTGGTAAAAATGTCCCACAGATTGCAATTTAAAAAAAAAAAAAAAAAAAAAAAAAAAAAATTAAGAAAAATTAATAGATTTAGAAAAAAATCTATTTAAAAAAAAAAAAGAAAAAGCTATAGAAAACTATATTTATAATAAAAATAATTAGTGGGTTTTTTTAGATTTTAAATTATGTTACAAAGTTATTGTAATTCTAACACTCTTTCTATGTCTTTATCATTTATGTCTGTTTTATTTAGTTTTATTTACTTTCTTTTCTTTCTTTTTTTTTTTTTTACAAATTTTCTTGTTTTTATTTTCTCTTTTAACTAATTTCTTGCCATTTTTTTGGGTCATTTCTTCTTTCATTGGTTGTTGCCTTCTTGCCATGTTTTCAAAAGAAATCAAGCCAATTTGCTCAGGTTTAGGTTTCAAAGGGTTAAGGCGTGAAAACTAAAATAAATATACAGCAGGCATGTCTCTGCATGTCAATTATTTCTTTGATGAAGACTAAATGATGTTGAATGAATGTTATTTTTAAAATTAAAATATAAATTTAAAATTACATCTCAAAGGATGAGGGCACAGTTAATTCTGTTGTTTAAATGGATTTTAATTTGGTGCAGGGTGCTTTATGACTCCTTTAAGAACTCAAAGTTTAGGACTCTCGACTTGTAAACCTTCCCAGTTCGCCACCAACGTCTTTCGACAAGGTTGTGACTTCAGGTGACCAACGTCAGGACAGCTTCTAATGCCAATGTCAACTAATGTAAAATACAGATGACATTAATGTTTTGTTTTGAGTTGTGTTGTTATGTAACCATATTCCAATGTCTTCCAAACATCTCATGCCAACGTTATCTTGATATAGAATACCGACATTTAGTCATAAGGTAAACAGAACAAACCCTAACGTCTGAAGTTCAAATGTTGTTAGACATTTAAAAAAGCATCGACACAATTTTCATTCCAACCAAAATCTTAAGTCTGTCCCAACCTACGAGTTTTTGTGTCTTTTGTGACATCATTTTGACGTCCAGTGCCAGCTCGGTTGACTTAGGACTTGAGTGCAAACACTTGAGAGTTACTTGTGACTTGCAAAACAATGACTTGGGGGCACCCAGTGGCTCACCTGGTCAGCAGGTGCCCCATTTACTAAGGCTATGTTGTTGCCACAGTGGCTGCAAGCTCTCCCTTTCTCTCCCCCCTTCACCCTGATCCGTCACAACAGTTATAAATGTTTGGAGCAATGTCTAGTAACTTTTAAAGAGATAGAAATGATAAAAATAATCTTCCATGCTGTCTCAGACTGATGCAGGAGGTCTGGGGTTTGTCACAGTGCCAGTTCAGAGGCACCAGCAGTGTACACACTGTACATTAACGCCTTCCCTGTGCAAGAAGTGACAAGGTGAGACTCTGCAGCACGACTGCCACATTAAACCTGACACACACACACCTCCAACACCCATGCATTTGGGTCATGACTGCTCAGATCCAACACATACATACATACATACATACATACATACATACATACACTACTATTAAGCCTCCTCCAGCAGCCCTGTGTGTGCCTACAGGCTCTCCTGCCCTCTCTCCAGCCAGAGCCAGCTGGCTTTCTGAAAGAGCACATTCTTCCATCTGCTGCTCAGCACACAGTCACAGGAGACTCATCACTTGGTGCTGTGAGAGCAAAGCGACCCATAATGCCAACTCGACCACAGAGTCCACACTGAATGCCCAGCAGAGGTAAACACTCAGGTCCAGCAGGCTAACAGGCAGCGGTGAAAATGGGATCCAAGTACACTGCTCTCACAGTCTGCTTTAGATGCAGCTCTGACACAGAGTTTCCCTCCGGTAGGAAAGAGAGAGCCTGACAGTGTGATGTAAAACACCGGGACATAAACTGTGCAGCACCACATCATAAACTGACTCAACAACACATCACTGCTCCTTCAGCTGCTCCGCAATCAAACTAATCACACAGCAGCTCTCATCATCTTATCGATGCTCCACTCCTCTGTGCATTTCACCACGCACCTTTCCACGCGTGAGGATTTCCATTTAAACTTGGCTAACCGTTAGCCGCTCACCCTGCTAGCTAACTGCTAACAGGAGCTGGCTAACAGAAACTTTTTTAAAAGTGGAGGCAGAGTGAGCGGCACCGTCTGCGGGGTTATTAAAGACACGGGTGTGTGTGTGAGAGAGAGAGCTCACCTCAGTGTGTGTTAGTATGAAAGCCAGTTAGATCCTTATTCGTAGCGAGCATTTCTTCCAGCAGCAGTTCAACATGTGTGTGTTATCCTCCTCCAGCAGCAGCAGCAGCAGCAGCAGCAGCTGACTGTCTGTAGACGTGTCTGCTAACGTTAGCTTAACTGTTACCAGTTAGCCACCGGCTCGCTAACCTGGACAGTTAGCTCCCGCCGCCTCGAGATGTCGCTGTTAACGATTTACCTGTTTATATCAGGACCAGCGTAACTAACAGTCACTTTAAATAGGTCATAACATATCATATCATGTTCTGTTTTTAGCTAAATAATATGTTACAAAATAAAAAGACACACGCTTGTTAAAACGAGCCCTGATTGAGACGAGCATTAGTGAGAAGCTAACTGTCAAATAACTGTCAAAACTTCATCCTACTGCGCAGGCGCTGTTTTCTGAGCACGAGGCTCAGACCAAATATAAAACAATAAGGGACTGTGCGTTATTTATGAGGGGCAATAAGAGGGAGACATGTTAGATATTTTTTAAACATTAAAAAAGGACTTTTTTATTTTGTCTTAGTGACGGAGCATACAACTTTAAATGGTTGTATTTCAGATTTATTTTAAAGGTCCCACATTGTGCTCATATTTAGGTTCATACTTGTATTTTGGGTTTCTACTAGAACTTGTTTACATGCTTCAGTGTTGAATAAACACATTATTTTCCCCATAGTGTCTGCCTGATTAGCAAATCAGCGTTTATCTTCAGTAACTTCCAGGTGGAAAATCCTTGTGTCACATACATAAACTCAAATGTCACACTCAAAATGTTATGACATATAAGTAAATAATTATAATAATAATAGCTTTTATTTATATAGCGCCTTTCAAGAGACCCAAGGATGATTCACAAACATATAAACAAACAAAACAAGACAGAGCAAGATAAACATACTAGCTGCCAAAGGCCTGTGTGAATAAGTGTCTTTTCAGCGCAGACTTGAAAGTGTCCAGAGATGGAGCAAGGCAAATCTCCTTTGGAAGAGAATTCCAGAGGGTGGGGGCCGCCACACTGTAGGCTCTATCCCCAAAGGTCCACCTATTGGTCGTGATGGGGTATGCTGGTGGATAAGGTCCGATGGGTACGGTGGAGTGAGGTTGTGGAGCGATTTTTAGGCAAGCGGAAGTAGTTTGTAGGTTATGTGGAACTTAACCGGAAGCCAGTGCAGGTGAATGAGAGTGGGGGTGCCAAGGCTTAGTGCAAGTAAGCACCCTGGCAGCTGAGTTTTGCACTTACTGGAGCCTGTCGAGGGCTTTATTGGGGACCAAAGAACAGGACTCCGTTGCAATAATCCAGCCGGGATGTGATGAAGGCATGGATCAGGGTCTCAGCCACAGAATCTGAGAGCGAAAGGCGGAGTCTGAAATGTTTTTAAGGTGGAAAAAAGGCAGATTAGGTGACAGATTTGATGTGTGACTCAAATGATAAAAATGTCATGTCACATGTAGGGTGAAGTCAGCCCAGTCAGTATTTGTATGTGGGCCCCATGTGGTTAGTAAATGAGCTTAAAAATGGGCCCTATATGGGACTGTTCAAGGGTTCCATAATGACCCCATACAGAAGCGTATTGCATTCACTTGACAAATAAAAAAATCTCTGTTTTTCTGAGTAATTTTTTTTTTGTTTTTCGGAGTAATTTATTTATTTTTCTGTTTTTTGGTGTAATTTTTTCCCTGTTTTTCATGGTAATTTTTTGTTTTGTTTTTCTGGGGTTTTTTTTTCTGTTTTTCATGATAATTTTTTTTCCTGAACGAGGAGACAAGATAGAGGTGACTCCTGCTCATGGATGTATTTTTCATCCATGCTCCTGCTCCTAGACAATTTCAACTACGGATCAATAAGGGTAAGGCACGTAATTAGTTACACACAGGGTATGATAATCTAGCTATGTTTTCGACTGCATCCTTCTAGTGTAGGCCTATCGCTCAGTGTAACAGGTTAGGTTAGTAACAGGTTGTAACAACATTAGCTGACAAACGTGTATGGGCATGATTTCAGTTGTTAGGTAACTTTAAGCTAACAGTTTTTTTCCATCATGCTGGACCTTGTTACTCATCACAAATTTGTCAGCTAACGTTATTACAACCTGTTACTAACCTATCCTGTTACACTGAGCGATAGGCCTACACTAGAAGGATGCAGTCAAAAACATAGCTCGATTATCATACCCTGTGTGTAACTAATTAAGTGCCTTACCCTTATTGATCCCGTAGTTGAAATTGTCTAGGAGCAGGAGCATGGATGCAAAATACATCCATGAGCAGGAGTCACCATGGATGCAGGGTCACTTGCAGGTGCCAGGTGGGAGTTTCTTGCGAGATTTTGAAGTATCTCGTCTCCTCGTTCAGGAAGAAAAATTACCACGAAAAACAGAAAAACATTACCACAAAAAAACAGAAAAAAAAATACCCTGAAAAACAAAACAAAAAATTACCACGAAACAGGAAATATTACTCCAAAAAACAGGGCTTTTTTTTATTTGTCAAGTGAATGCAATACACTTCCGTAATCCCATGCCTTTTGTCCACATGGGTGGTTTCACCAAAGTGGGCCCCACACGGGTTATGCTACATCTACCTGGATACCAAGTGGGTATGGGCCCAAAATGGGCATCTTATCTTGGGCCCACTTGAGTAAAACCACCCATGTGGGCAACTGGAGTGTGGCCACTTTGGAACCCTTGAACAATCCCATATAGGGCCCATTATTCAGCTCATTAACGACCCACATGGGCCCCACACACAAATGCTGGCTGAAGGGTAATTTGAGACTTTAGGTAAAATTGCATGGTTTAAGTTTTACATCTTGTGCTTTTAAAATATTTGCAGTCAAACACCAAACATGTTCGTGCATTGTTACAAATACGCTTTAAGAAACATAAAACCCGTAAATGTTTCTCTTTCTGCTTAAAAAATGAGTAAAACAATTGATCATCACTGTAAAACTGTAAAATGACTGACATTTAACTTTATTCTGTTTAATTTCTCCTCATAGATAAAACACACAGAAAGAAACGTCAGGCCCTCCGGCTCAGTTTAAGTCAAACAGCCTTTCTGACACTTAAAGAGTTCATGTTGTTTATTGACACTGAGTAAAGGTGTACTTTAAATACTGAAACCTGATCCATTGCAAGGTGTCGAACAGCATGTTTTACTTAGTGTTTCATCAGATGGATTCATGACACCAAAACTAATGGCATCACATATTTCAGAAAGAACGGTATTATGACGCCCTGATGATTCCTTAAACTTTAGTAAAATGTCTCGGACCATATCCATAAACATTCTGAGAATCCTCGGAAACTTTTACCTCAGTGAGGTGTGACACATAATTTTACCAGATGTGATTGGTTGTCACAGACACACCCTTTGTGAGCCTGAAGGTGTGGACATTGCTCGTTTGATCCCTCTGCTGATGGAAGGTTGAGACGGACCAAAGTCATCACTGCTGCACTCAAAGTATCTCAGTGTTGTGATCATTTTATTTCTGGCGTTATATCGTTATACCGTGTGGTGGGACATGTGTGTATTCCTGGTGAGAACAGCTTCAAATATTACACCTGCACCATCTGACCTGTAGCATTGTATTAACTTACGTCACTCAGCGCTTGGAGAATATTTCTCCTTCTTCTGTGTGTTTCCACCATTTTCTCCTCTGATTAAGAAACTCTTAGACGTCTTAGAGTGCTCCTCCCTGCTCCAAAGCTTTTCACCTTAGGAGCTCTCTTACGGGCTGAGATGCTGTGTGAATAACTTATCTTTACCACAACCTAGTCTTAACTTAAAGGGGAAATTCTAAGAATTTTCCCGAGAATTTTGTCACTAGGAGCAACTCTTTGTACCAGGAAGCTTTGTGAATTCGGCCCCAGATCTGCACTTAATGTTGATACCTTAAAAACAGTGATCAGCACCAACTTGTTCAGCGTTCTCACCATCTGTTGACTCCACATATCTCCTTTAATTTTGTTAAAGAGGCCCCGGGCAGAGCAAGCTGAGTGTCCACTGGTTCAGGACCTCAAAGAACCCTAACTAACAGTTTTTTTTTAATACTGCACCTTTAGTTTATTGTTTATTCTTCATTTCTGCATCACAGCAAATGTCATCAGAAATTATGAGTGAGCCGGTAAATAGAAAATTTGTCATTTAATGCAACATAATTGTGACTGAATTACAATTAATCTCATGGAAATAAATCACCAAACTGACAGACAGGATGTTTCATACAGGTATATATTACAATGTGCCTTGTTATATAATACAGTCAGGTTCTGTTTTTAATAAAAATAAGCGCTGGAGGAGGATGTGATACGTTTTGATTTTATTGTAAATTGGACATTATGCACATTACTTAGCGACTGATGACTTGTTAATTAAGCTTGTTAAGTGGTCAGGGAACTCCCTACGCTGAGTGAGAGTTCAGACGATGTCAAGTCAAAAAGGCAATTTAGCCAGGAGCGCTGCGAGCTTGAGATCTCACGTACAGGACGAACGGTGAGGGAAGTACCAAGATGAGGGAACAAGAACATTGAGTTGTTGACAGTGGTGACTGTTTGTGCCAAAGATACCATCCAATGAACACAAAGAACTGTTGGGGGGTTTTTTTCTTGACCATACGGGACGTTAACCGTGAAGTGAAGCTTCTTTCAGCCAAATATCTTTAGTAACCGCAACAGAAAATTCTCCCAAAGTTGATTTGTTTCACGTCATCGCAAATTCAAACCGTTTTTTTTTTGTTTTGTTCAGCAGGTCAAATAAAAGGCGTGGTCTCACTGACACAATAAATATTGCACACGTGATATTCTATAAGGATGTTTTTGCATACAAGTGTTCGCCCCCTTTCCTATGTCTCGTAATATTTCCTCAAGTTATATTTTCCCAAATACGATTATCACCATAGATTGAATATACAGAGGAGTTAACAGTGTCTGTATAAAAACAAAATAACATCAATAAAAGTCGACATCCAATGTGTAATGTGACATCTGGCTGTGAGACCAAAACCTTTCTTTGTCCCAGTTTCTCTAATTTCTGTACAAAGACGATACAACTATCCAGTCATGCAACGTTGTTTGGGAGGGGGTGGGGTGGCGGTGGGGGGTTGTCTGTTATGTTCTCTGCTGTTTTTAAGCATTCTGCATCTCCTTGCCGATCTTGTAGCTCAGGATCTTGTTCCAATCGATCTTGGTGCGTGTCACAGGAAGCTGGCGGCGTAAGGCTTTGAAGGTAGTGTCCGACATGGTCTGGTAATTCTCGTTGATGGCCGTCTGGAGGGAGAAACATAGGGACGGGGAGAGATGGAGAGA